TAGATGAAAATAACATTCTGCGCGTAGGTGGCAGACTACGAAATTCTGATTTGGTGTTTGGACGAAAACATCAAATCTTAATACCAAAAAACAATAGCGTAACAACTTAAATAATTCGTCATTTTCATTTATTATGCATGCACGGTGGAGCGAAAGCCACTGAAGCAATCATCAAACAGCAGTTTTGGATTGTGAATGCACAAACAGAAATAAAGAAAATTTTGCATCGTTGCATTCCTTGCTTCAAACAAAGACAAAAAACCATGTCACAATTAATGGCAGATTTGCCGGCCAATCGCGTAAACATTGTTGAAAAGCCATTCACCAACGTAGCAGTAGACTACACCGGTGCAATTCCATACAAAACGGCAAAAGGTACGGCTGGTAAAAATTCTAAGGCTTACATTTCAATATTTGTCTGTATGGCTACAAAGGCACTTCATATCGAACTGGTATCAGATTTAACAGCCGACGCGTTCATAGCTGCCGTTCGCAGATTGGTAGCGCGTCGTGGAATGATCAAGAGCTTCAACAGTGACAATGGCACAAACTTTGTAAAAGCTAATAAAGATCTAAGTGATTTATTTGAAATCGAAAAAGAAGAGTTCAAAACAATCTGCGATGAACTTTCAAAGCAGGGCATTTCTTGGCATTTCTCACCCGCTGGTGCGCCTCATTTCAATGGCCTCGCCGAGGCTGGTGTGAAAGTTGCAAAGACTCATTTAATAAAAACAATCGGAAAAACTGCGCTAACATTTGAAGAATTGTCCACATTATTGTATCAGGTGGAAGCATGTGCAAATTCAAGACCACTTTGTGCACTATCTACTGACCCTGATGACATCGATTGCCTAACACCTGGACATTTCTTGATTGGGGCACCGTTACTGGCACCACCCGACGAAAGCTACATCGAAACGAACGTAAACTGGCTTTCACGTTGGCAATTGGTGCAAAAAATGAGTCAAAACATTTGGAAAAAATTTCAAACGGAATATCTAAATGAATTGCAAACCAAATCAAAATGGTTTACGAAAAAAGAAGAGCCAAAATTGAATGAATTAGTTTTGGTAAAAGATGAGAATTCACCACCATGCTCTTGGCCAATGGCGCGCGTAATCGACGTGCACAAGGGTCATGACGCACTCACGAGAGTTGTAACACTTAAAATGCGCAATAACACTTTCACTCGACCAATAACCAAAATCGCTCCGTTGCCGATTGAATACGATGCGGAGACCCGGGCAACAATTAAAGCACACATTGCAAAAACTGAAACAGCGAGTAAAGCACGGGTTACAAAATCCAAACCGGCAAAACAAACATTTAATGTCATTCCGATAATAACGGCATTGCTTGCAATTTTTGTGATTCAAGTGAATGCTCACCCAAATCAAAACGTTCCGTTCAAATTGAATAAATTTGACACCTCGCCGGGTTTGTTTTTCGAACAAATTTCGCATGCAAAGTTCAGTTACACCAATTGGAACTCGATTGTTTATGTAAACATGAAATCATTTCTCAACGAAGCATCGATGATGGAAAGAAGTTTACATGATTTAGAAAACGTATGCAATCAAAAACTGGCGGGGCAAAGCTCATGCAAATCTCTTTGTCAACTAATTGAAAATCGTATCAACGACATCAATGAACGAAATGAGTTAATAATATCGTTTAAGCATCATCGAGCAGAAAGAGCGTTACTTGACATTGTTGGAAACATTGCTGGCGATTTATTTGGAGTTTTAGACTCTCGATTCGGACGAGAATACGTTCTCGATATGTCAAGATTGGAATCAAATGACGAACATTTGCTCACTCTTTTGAAAAACCACACTTCTGTTTTAAATTCCACTATGAATATAATCAAAAAAGATGAGCGGGAAATCATAAATCAGAGAGAAAGCATAATAAATCTAGCAGGTTTGGTACGTGTTCAAACCAATGACCAGCAAGCAGTTTTGCATTTTCATACTATGTCTGTGTATCTTTTACAAATGATCTCTGATTATGAGCATCAACAAGATAGCATGTTGGACATACTTACTGGCGCTAGAAAAAATCATATCGATCATCATCTAATAACTCCTGCTCAAGTAGGGGGTCAATTAAATATAATGAGTGAATATTTATCAGACCAACAGGCACCTCCGGATGGAACCGATTTCTACAAATTGGCAACCATCACTCCGTTTGTCACAAATAAGACACTATTTTTTCGAATTGCCATTCCATTGATAAGCGACGAAAGGTTTCAATTGTATCATATGTATGAAACGCCATTTGTATACAATGACGAAACTCTGAAAATAAATGCTAAATTCGAAGTCATTATCGCGTCATTAAATCGGCAAAAATATCAATTGATTAGAAACAAGCATGAACTGAAATGCAAAAAACAGTCAGATGACATGGTCATCTGCTTCGAGCCCCGCAAGTGGCTAACCAGCCAATTCAAATCTTGTGTGTGGTCTCTCTTTAATCATGAAGCCAACTCGAATTGCGAGTTATCCAAGGTAAATTTGCGTTACCAATGGTTAGAACTCGAAGAGCCGAACAATTGGTTATTTTTCTGTAAGTATGTGGAAAAGTTCATATCTATTTGCGGCGATAGTGTAAATCACCACAGCGCTATTGGCTCTGGAACCCTAAAATTGAACGACAATTGCGTACTTCGGGGTGATAATTTTGAATTAATGCCCCAAAAGAGTTTAGAGCGCGCGCCACATGATTTCATTATTCCGAATTTCCAATTCAATCTCACTTCGTACGAGCCATTCATTTCAAACGGAACAACGAATTTGATCGAATTTGCCAAAACTAATTTGACTAAACTACAAAATCAGTTAAAATTCATCGAAAATCAATCTAAATTAAAGGAAAAAATCGACATTCATGACATTCATAACTATTCAGTAAACTATTTCACTCTGTTCATCGTTGTATGCTTGATATTCTACGTTGTAAATTTCATCAGGGGTAATAGACGAATCAGATTACCACGTGCAATTTCGATGCCAAATCTATCTGAAGATTTGACTCGCCGTTTAGAGCACCGCCAGTCACGCTAAAGGTGGCCCGGAGAATGTCTATTGACATAATTTTGAATTAACTGGAATCGAACAATAATGAAATCGCACGAAATAATGAATCATAAGCAAGAAATAATTATTATTTAGTTATAAGTGCAACAATAACCTGAATAGAATTCGGAGAATTTAAATAAGTCAGCTAAGCAATTTATTGTATATAGTCTTTAAGTGCATGAATAAAATGGTCAGTCTTTAATCAACCATCGACTACAATTCACCTATCTTTTAATGACAACTTCTATCACACAGAACTTAGTCACTGTGTATATTTTGAAATAGCAGCTACCGAATACTTTGTTCGGAATTATTCTGAACGTTCCATTGGATTTTGGAAGTGGATCGACCACGTTAAATTATCGATCCACATACATTTTTGAATTGAACGTTATCTTTCCACTTCTAAAAATCCAATGGAACGTTCGAAATAATTCCGAACAAAGTATTCGGTAGCTGCTATTTCAAAATATACACAGCTATTGACTATAAACAGCAGCTACTAATAGTTCCAGATATAGAAATATACAAAATGAGAGCTCTGCTTCCGAGTTCGAACTGCCGGAAAAGGTTTGGACGTCCGAGAAAAAAATTCGGCCACTTCGGACGAATGGCCGAACTTCTCGCAAGGCACTTCGGACGGACTGACGGCTGAAAATGTGATTTTTTTTGTCCGCCCGTGTCCGTTGACACCTTTAGTCATAAGTTCCCGGACGGACGGACGTTTGAGCGTATATTCTTTATGGTAACTATCCGTCTGTTCGGGAACTGATGACCGCCACCCCACCATTGTAAACAGAAAACAAAAAACGGTGATACAAAATGAAGTGATGCCGGTAAATTTTACATTTCTATATAAATTTAACCGGAACCAATTCATAGTGATTGCGCCCGAGTCCGTCCGAAGTCCGAGCATTTGTGATCGAGACCGCCCGCTGCCCGACCGAGCAACGCCCGATCGGGCCGATAGATATTTTTTTTTCTTGGAAAAAAGTGGGAAAAACTTGATTTTTTGATTTTTCTTCAACGTTTTTTTATGAAAAAAAACTAGAAAAAATTGCTTTTCCTGTATAATTTAAGTGTGACCGAAGGCCGACGGGTCATATATCTAAACCGAGGCTCACCGATATCCGACGAGACTTCGATCGGGCAGGTCCGACCGTCGGTCGGGCTTGCGAACTCTGCTTCATACTTACCTATTTTCTTTTCTAGCTGTAGCATGCTTTCCTTAGTTCGAACGACAGGCGATTAGATGTAGCCTGAATCCAAAAAATTGGATTTCGACATTCGGACTAGATGGTTGTTCTACATTGAAACTCATATTTTAGTCTTTGGGCAAAGCGGTCATTTCGTAACTATTTATTCGGAGTAACACATCTATTCGTGAGACGTAAAAAAATGTTCAGGCCGCGCTAGCGTCCTATCTAAATACATTATAATGAATAAGTACAAACTAATACATATGCATTTCGCTATGAATGCGTTTCATGTTATGTGTTTTGATTTCATTTAATTTTGGAAATTGAAAAAAAAAATATTTCTCGACAAAATATATTTTAAAACATCACTGCAATAAAAAAAACTTCCAAGTAAGAATGAATATATTGATATTGAGTAAGAAAATTCGTTGAAATCGGTGAAATACTTAAATCAAACATAAACGTTTGAAAAACGTACGACGCGCGCCAAAGCATAAGTGATGTCAAAGTGTGTACAAAGAGTGAAGCAATAGTGCGTTTAATGCTATGTGCTATAGTGTCTCTGTTGATGTTGATCGCTGACGTTTATAGTGGTAGAAAATGTTATATTCATTCATAGTAAAACAAACATTTTAATCGAAATGATTTCTTCTGTAAACAGATTTGGTGCATTATCAAGAACAAACAATTTTTTATTCATTTTATTTGAGTTTGCTTGATTCAGTCTCAATCTTGTTGACCCTATCAATGTTCAGTATCTTTTATTATTGATTCCATAGCTATTGTTTGCCACATTTTCGAATGATGTTTCAGTTATTTTCACTGAACCTTCAACATCTTTCGATGGTGTCTTCATGTTTGATTTACGAATTTTCCGGTCGGTGATTTTCTTCGAATTGTCTGAAAAGTGTCGTTCGATGTCGTCAAGCGAGATGTTCTCCGTCTCCGGTAAGATGAAGTATGTCACAACGAATGCAATGCCATAAACAACACAGAAAAATAACGAAATGCCTGGCAGTGAGAGTGTAGTTTCCATACTATAATAGGATTTTTTGGCAATAAAACGAAGAGAATAGTTCAAAGCAATCGTAACGCCACTTGCTACGCCACGCGATCTGAAAATTTAAATAATGGTAATTAATTGGGCGAGCAACGATAAAAAAAGGCGTTTAAAACTCACTTCATCGGAAAAATCTCTGAACTAAGAATCCAAGGCATTGAGATGATGCCACAAAATGAGAAGAAACTTGATAAAGTCAAGCATATCGTTGGAATATATCGGAGACCTGTGTTCTCCACGTGAAATGGTCCATGAGTTAGGTCGAAAGAAATGTAACCGCTTGGCAAGTAAATGAATCCATAGCAAGAAATGGCCCCTGCACTGAGGAATGCTCCCAATGCTGCGACTAAATAAAGGCGTCGTTTGCCAGTGAAGCGTATCAAACACGTGAACAAACCACAAGTCAAAGACTCTATTAAACTCAGCATAACCGCTGCTCGATCTGGTGGTAGTGGGCTTTCGTACGCTTCGAAAATCTGTACGATGAACGGTCGCATTGAGTAAAAGCCGGAAAACCCAGAAACACAAAACATGAATATCGTTATGGAAAGTGGCTTTAGCGTTCTTTTCCGCTTCAGTTCGGCGAACTTTTCGCTGAGAGTTGGCAGTGGATGAGTGCATTTCAGGTCGCGTTTAATGCATGTGTTACACGATTTGGATTGCTCGTTATGCTTCTGTAACTCATGGAACTCTTGAGCCACACTCCTACTACTACTTGAAACCCATCCGCGAAGCCAACGGAGCGATTTTTCGGCTTCAGCCGTTCGATTTTTGAAGAGCAGCCACTGAGGCGTCTCGGGAATCTGAGAAGAGAGCAATGAAAAGGAAATCGAATATTAGATATTAAATAGTTTTCTTCAGCGTCACTTCAACTATAATATGTAAACGAGTCGGCGAACATTTTCGAATAAACTCTTCGAAACTTACGAAACAAATGGCAATCGCAGTAATTATAGGGCAAGCCAAACAAACGGCAGCTATGAATCGCCATGGCATTATCGTATTTAAAAAAAGTCCCAGGAACATTCCAGAAGTGCCGGTAATATATGTTAGAGAAACTAAAACGCCACGAGTTGATGGTTCACTAAAAGAATGTTACAATTGAAATGTTTAGCCAATAATTTCGATCCTACAAAATGTCTGGAAAATATTGAGTTTAACCATATTTCGCCGAGGTAAGTAACGAGAGGGCCTTCCATCAAACCCATACCCAATCCGTGTAGAGCGCAACCGGTGAATATTTTCCAAATAGCATCTCCTTGATAAATCATCAACCAACCAATCGCCAGTGGCATATTGACCAAAATCATCGATCGTTTACGGCCTAGTGGATCTGTATTGAAAATTTGATGAATATTGATTTTGATATATTTCAGAAGCTGGTGTTATTACCTGTGATGAACACCGATAGTATACTGCCTATAGGTTCAAATAAACTTGCAATGCTTCCTAATGTTCAATAAATTTTAAAATATAAAGTAAGTATTATTCCGTTATGATTGATTTAAAAAAACAACTATCGTATATCATTTGAAATAAAAAATTATTTCAAGATTTGATCACCGCTTGAAAACATACTCTACTTTTTTCAATACAAAGTTTGTGGGACATACATCACTCTCAATCTCACCCATAAAAATAATTGAAAAGATAAATAATTTCATTGCTTTTATAACGATTGCATGAATTTAAGAGAAATTTTTTCTGATTTTTCTTGCTGAAATTCATATTCAAACGAAAATAGGTAATGTTTAAATTATTTTAGCGAATACAACTGGATAAGATTAATTTCATACGTTCTTGAACAATTTGAAGTAATGCCACAAATGGGTAGCGGACATAATATCCCAAACGGACTGGTCCGTCAAATATTATTTTCAACTAATTACAGCTTAATATTTCTGTTAGATGTTAAATGTATTCACAATGATACATCGGTGTATTTCATTCACGTTGACACAAGGTTATTCGATAGGCAAATTTGAATAAGAAAGTGATCTGAGTTACCCAACCAAGAGGCTTCCACCGGTGTGATCGAGAGGTTTTCATTGCGGTTGTGTTCATTTGATATTCCCGTCATCGCTGCAATCAAAATCGTCGGAAATATGGTCATCAAACCTAAATCGACTATGAGCAGATTCTTCACAATGGTTGCAATGAACTAAAACAGAAAAAACACTCAAGATTTTGGAATTTATCGAAATTTGAATTCACTAAATTTTCTTGTACCTGTGGCAAAATCCGTCGAAATCGACTGACTTCTTCATTAATTTCGTCTGATTTTGATTTGTCAGTTGAACGTTCCATATTGAGGCTATGAACCTTGGCAGATTTCAACTTCGAACTTCAACAATATGGTAATGGTAAGTTTTAACAATGTTTCAGCTTGGTTTTAATTCATTTTGATTCACTGATTCAGCAGATAAACAAAAAAGTGTTGAAATGGAACTTGGCCCGAGACGCAATGACAATCACTCAGCCGTCACAACGACGGTAAAAACGCAACTGAGCTTGCTAAACAGCATTTTGACCAAAACACATTTGAAAAATTGGATGCTGTTAACACTGTACCACAAAATTTTACGAGACCTATTGATAAAAATGAATCTAATCAAATTTCGATGTAGATTAAAATAATGAAATTGGTTTGTTTTCATTACAATAAACAGATTTACACGTGCTTATATCTGTGACTTTCATTTGTTTTATTTATCACTGACTGGTGAGACATATGCGTTGGAACAGATTATAATCTGTCAATTAACGGACTGTTTCAATGTTTCTTTACATTTTTAATATATAACACGTGTCATTAAGGAATTTAAAATGCTTGAATTTGGAAAAATAAAACGAATACCAAGCGGCACATATCTGAGCTATAAAAGCATTTGCTTTTCCAAACATTTTAAAATGCTTTTATAGGTAAATTTCCCCTTTTATAACGCTCTCTTTAAATGTTTTTATAGTTCAGCTTAAAAAAATTCTTCCATAACATTTTTTAAACTCTTTTATTATGTAATTTATAAAATTCGACTGTGAGTCGATCAGCGATGGGTTCCACGGGGAAACCGCTGATCGACTCACACAACTTGAACACTCTGCCAAAATGGAGAAGGTTCAGTCAATCGGTCATCATACGAATGCCGATTTCATAAGGTCAGCAAACGAGTGGCTGCCGAACGAGTGGGCATCAATAGGAATCAATCATCAGACGAATAGCTGCACTACGGTCATCTTACAAATGGTCAAATTAACCATCGATTAAAGGCCGCCGCCGAGCTGCTGACCGAGGGACCATCATACAAATGGTCAAATTCATCAGTTTACCTATCCGAGTAGCCGAAATAAAACGATTAAAGGCCGCCGCCGGGCTGCTGATCGAGTGACTGGTGGGAGAACTCCCTCCGGTGCACAGTGAACATATAAGCAGACGGAGCAGCAGTTCTACCAGCACCAAGTCACTGCCGAACGAGTAGTGAACAATATGCCATCATCGCATAGCTGAAATCGACGAGCCGCCACGAAGCATATGTCCCAGCAGATATCGCTTCCAGTGCCGAACAAACAATAGCACCTGTTGACCGTGTATCATCAAGACTAGCGGACACTCGCAGCCAGCCGCTGATAGTTGTGTGACCATCAAGAGTATAGCCACTACAACGACAGCAACCCAGAAATGAGCAAGCAAGTTTTATCATTATTTGAAAAATAATAATGATAACAACAAAAAATAACGACATTCGGTAAAACACGGGAAACAGCAAATGATGATTCAAGGCATAGAATCGACTGGGCCAACTGCATACAGTGGTCTAGTCCAAGCGAGTAATGGGCAATTCGGCATTCCTTCGAGAACGACTCAATCGATCACATTCCACGGGCACCACCACACGAATCCGTGGGCAACCGGGTCGATGAAAAACTTTCGGTCACAGGGAACAGCTGAAAGTCGAGAAATCACCAACTCTAAATAATTGCAAATATGTATCAACCGATCGGGTCAGAACGATTTGGCATGATTCACAGCCGGGGGGAGTCAGTACACGCATAGCCGAGCTCAATGGCCCACCTTCACGTCAAAACAATATACCGCTGCGCGGGAGACCAATTCGAACAGCTACCTATCAACGACATTTTCGGTCACATCGAATGGGGCATTCATAATCGACTTGACTACCAAAATTTATACAATTCTGTGCAGACATATCAAACTGCAAAATAGAGAATCGCCGGCAGTGCAACTAGCCGAATTTACAACAGGGGCGACTACACCGCTCTATCAACTCGAAAACGATTTCTTCATGCCGCAGCAAAAATGGGACCAGGTCAGGTACAAATTGTTTTCGTTGCGATACAACAAAAAAAACCTCGTTGCATGTTGTTTATTTGTAAAAAATAACAAATGATGAACACACAAACAATCGAATGTGCAGAGAAGACAATACGAATCGCGGATATGCACGACGATGCATTTATTATTTAAAAAAATGCGGAAAGAAATCTTTCGAATTCCAACTGTTTACCCTATTTGCGTGGTCATACAAAACCACGCGCAATTACAAATACGAAAGCAGCAATGAATGCAAGTGAGACACAGTCATCAACAACAACAAATCAAATGAAGTCAGAGCGGTAATAAATAGCCGTTATACCGACCAAAGAAATTTGACACCCTCGACATTTCAGAATCTTTGCAACGAGGCATTTTGAATACAACTTACGAATGTTTCATTGCAAATAAAAGTGTGAATGATAATTAGTTCATCCGGGGTTATTGTGGTGAACGGATTGTCAAGATAATTATCAACCAAGTCATGGGTGTTGAATGTCATTCAATGCCACTAAGCTGTAGACATCTCTTTTCGTCTATACGGCAAACAACAGAACTAACGCTGAACATGAAAATGACATGTTCAATTGTGTTTGTTTCGTTAGTTTCAACTGTGCCGCTACGAGAGGTCACTTTTGTCGTTTCTTGTTGTTATTTTACATGTAAAATGGTATTAGACGAGGATGAACCAAGTGATTATTTCAAATTCGAGTCAGAAACCAGTCAAAATGCTTAAAGTGTACTACGAGTGTAAAGAGATCATCGATTTTCATTACGGACAACTCAAAGACACGCATGGATCGACGTCCCGCGTGATGGAAAAACTACAGGAAACAAGTGGCTTGAATAACGTGGACGTACCGATAGTGCACAAACCTTTCATGGTACACGGTCAGCATGCTTTATACACGAAAACGGCAACTTATTACAAACAGGGCTCCAGGCGAGATATATACGATGAGAGAAAAATCGGCACGGTGATTGGATTCGCCGCGTAAAATATCAAACGGTTCTTTGCATACAACGGGGGCCAATACAGGGAACATATTGTGGCGACGAATATAAGCAATTCGAAAGACGATATGGCAGTCTTTGTTAAAAAAGGGGACATTTCATACTATATCCTGCATTTCGATCCGAACGACAATTCGGTATCCAAAACGATGAACAATTTTCACGCACATAGGGGAAAAACCTCGACTAGAATGGGTTACCAAGCCATCATGGGTAACGGGGACGGAATTTGCACCAAAGGCGGAAGAACTAATGCCAGCGAAAAACTACGAGAAGAAAAGAAAACGCGAACTTCAATCAATAAGTGATTAACGTCCAACAGATTACTTCGAATCCAATCAAGTCAGCTAACACTTAAAGACGGGAGAATTACTGTCGTAAATAACATTTCCAAATGAGTAAATTCAAATTCTTCACAGGTTCTCAAATCGAAACAAATTCAATTGTTTAACAAAATGTCAATTTTCATTTCTATAAATTGTAGCATTCTAAAACAAATTCATTTCATTATTGTTTAAATCAATTCTTACAATCAATTTGTAACGTATCATTTTCTCCAGACGGGAGAATGTTCAGGTTCACGCAAGTAAACATACAAGCTAAACAAAAATATTAAAATGTAAACAACCATTGTCAAGTTCCTATTTAGGGTAAAATCATAAATAAAGCTCATTCGCTTCCGCTTCTTTTGTTCTTTCCCTCTTCTCACATACACCAAATTCGGAGTTTCAGCTTTCTTAGTTTTTGTTTTCGGAGTTTAAGTACATATGAACTGCTGAGAATAAAAGGCTGACGATTGCAGGTTTTTCGCAAAAGCGGGATAAAATCAGTCGCACGCAAAAGAGACATTTCAAAAGGTTGCACGCAAACGGAACATTTTATTTTGTCGCATTTCGAATTTTCAAGCCGTGATTACAACAACAATATACTTCTCTCTTGCGTGCAACCTTTTGAAATGTCTCTTTTGCATGTAACTGATTTTTATCCCGCTTTTGCGAAAAACCTGCAATCGTCATCCTTTTATTCTCAGCAGTTCATATATAAGACTTATTTTTATGCAAAGTGAGTGGAAATTATCCAAATCGAGTGGAAAAATAATTGTTTTTGTGCCTATTTGGCTTTTATAGCGCTTTCAAAAAGCGTTATAAAGACTGCTGTGCCGTTCGGGATTTGTTTCTTTCTTGAAATTTTGTTTTAAAATCAACATCTTTTTTTAAATATAAAGTACTCAATTCTTCTATGGGTGCGATTGAGAGTGGCGTATGTTTCACAGACTTTGAATTGAAAAAAGTAGAGTATGTTCTCAAACGGTGGGCAAATCTTCAAATAATTTATTTATTTCAACTTATTTACGATAATTATCTTTTGCAAAGTTGTACAGTTTGACAAGACCAACAATTTTTGCGAAGACACCAATTCGATATTTTCTGTCAGAAGAATTAAAATCGCCAAAAACCACGTGTGGAACATACTAAACTCTATCAAAATAAAAGTTGCCAAAAAATACACAGTACACACTACTCACTCATAGTATTGACTTTCTGATTATATATAGTATATCAACTCAAAATCTTTGTTTTTTCATCAGCAGTCTTCAACATGTCCTGATTATGTCTTTTCATTTGATTTACGAATTTTCCGGTCGGTGATTTTCTTCGAATTGTCGGAAAAGTGTCGTTCGATGTCTTCAAGCGAGATGTTCTCCGTCTCCGGCAATATCAAGTACATTAAAACAAAACCAAGGCCAGAAACGACACAGAAAAATAGCTTAGCGCCAGGCAGAGAGAGTGTCGTTTCCAAACTGTAATACATTTTTTTAGCGAAGAAACCTGAAATATAATTCAAAGTAACCACAATACTGCTTGCTACCCCACGGGATCTGAAAAGAATGTGGAAGAGAATTTTTCGTTAATTAATTCGATAAAATGGTTGTGATTAAATTCAAAGGGTCATTTTGTTATGAAATAAATCAATAACAATTACTTGTGTATGAATGGGAATATCTCGGAAAGAAGCATCCATGGCAGAAAGCTACAATTCGAGGAGAAGCTCCACAGAAACAAGCCGATCAACGGAATATAAGTCAGAATCGTATTATCTACATGATACGGTTCATGCGATTGATCAAACGATATGTATCCTTTTGGCAGCAGAATAAAACCATACAGACATACTATTGCTGAAGAAAAAAATGTTCCAAGGGACATGACCAAATAAATGGGTCGCTTCCCTGTGAAGCGCACCAAAGACATGAAGACAATGGAGGCCGTTACATCCAAGAAACTCATGATAGCTGCTGCTTGGAATTGGACTGTCATGCACTGTAACATGTTTTTGCGAGACGGGGGTCTGAAAATTTATAAATGGGTGTCGAAAAAATGCAGACCTAAAAAAAGGTCCTCATTTTTGAAAATCGATTCTATCTAGTGTAAAATTTTCCAAATCGCTCGATGGGGGTCTCACATTTTGAAATCCTAGAGGGGGGGTAAAACCGGAAACCCCCCTTGCACACGTCTGGTTGAATCTTTAAAAAACCATATTAAAACTTACAAAACAGATGGCAATGGCCGTAATAATCGGGCAAGACAGACAAACTAGAGCTAATGATCGCCATGGCATCATAGTGTTCAAGGAAAAACCCAAAAAACCTCCAAGCGCAGCGCAAATGAATGAAAGAGCAACCAATACCCCGCGTGTTGAAGCCTAACTAAAAACAAGAATATTCATTAGTTTTGATCATTTCGGATGGAAGTTGTTGAGTCTAGGGAAATTTATCATTCAAAAATTCATGAATTCCGGTGTGTTTTGAGCTATATTCAGAATATCCACTCATGTTCACAGATATTCAGTCTTTCTCATTTGACAGTTCAGGCGTTCTCATCAGCCGCCATCTTGAATTCGTCGCCACCTTTAAAATTTTATTCAAAATATTCACAAAATTCACAACATTCACATATAATCGAAATTTTGACGATGATTCAATGAGAAAAATATCCACAATATTCACAAATATTCACAGTTCCCAAGCCTTGAATGAAACCCCTAGTGTTGAGTTCAACCATAATATGGTTAGATGTTTACCATATTTCACCGAGATAAGTTATGAGTGGAGCTTCCATCAAGCCTGCAGCTAATCCAAAGGAAGCACAACCAGTGAAAATCTTCCAAACTGCATCTCCCTGATGAAGCATGAACCAGCCGAGAGCAAACGGTATGTTGACAAGGACCATCGATCGCTTACGTCCGAGTGAATCTAGCAAAAAGAGGATAATTTAACTTTGACTAGATTTATCAAAATAACGATAGATTGCCGATATTAATTTATAGTTTTTATACCTGTGATCAAGATCGATAACAGACTGCCAATCGGTTGAATTAAATAGCTCATCGCTCCTGCAACAAAATTAAATCAATGAATTTGAGAAAGGTGTAACGAAATTCAAATTCAGGAAATTTAATTCTATTCTAAATGGAAAAAACGAAATGATACTTACCCAACCAAGATGCGTGCACGGGTGTAATCGAAATATATTCATTGCGATTATGTTCATTTGGAACACCTGTCATTGCCGCAATTAAAATCGCTGGTACTGCATAAGTTGAGCCTGTATTGACAATGAGCATATTTTTTACAATACAAGCGATGAACTAGTCAGAATGAAAGAAAAAAGGTTCAAAGAGTATTTTTTACCTAGAAAATGTTTTTAAATCCGAATGAATTTCAATTGTTATTCATATTGCATGGACTCTAGCAAAAGTTCTTTACTTCCAAATTGTACCTGTGGCAGAATGCGTCGAAATCGACTGATCTCCCCATCATTCGGTTGATGTGATCGATCCATGAGATTTTAGCTTCGAGTTCCAATTGTTTTTTATTATTTATTTCTGGTGATAGATGATTTTACCAGGTTTTTAACTTATTTTGCCTTGAATTCGATACAAGATTCGATTTTTTAGGTGAAATCTTCAAGTCAATCCCAGAATATCAACCTTCAATTTAAAAAAGTTAAGACTCTTCCAACGACGCCCAAATTAAAACTAAACCAGCTGTTTTGTCAAGATCGAAAAATGAATGTAAAAGACTGATAATGGGGCCGTTAAAAGTAGAAACAATAAAATCTGTTTACTCACGCAATCAAGTAACAAATAAGATACATTTGATAACGCGTGTACGACTGAGTGTTTCCAAATTTTTGTTACTGAGTACATCGATACGAAATCATTCAGTGTGCCAATAGTTTTCATAGCTTAAACAACATGCACGTGTGAATTGCCAATACAAACGGATAGAGTATACTCAGTGTATACACAGTCAATAAACTTTCCAAAAGTCATGACTCCCATCTTATTTATGAATCAAGAAAATGTTAGTCTAAATCGTGGCGTTTTCTTTGAAAATCTTCCATATAAATACATATACATACATTTATTATGCAAGGTAAGAGATTTGAGAAAAGCGCTACAATTTAGACTATCTTTTCTTAACCCATATGTAAGATAGAAGTGTTCTTGACTGTCGAAAAGTTTTCTTTGACTGTATATTATGCATTAGATTTGGATAGTAGAATTTGGATTTGGATGCTAGTCTCACTCTAAGATTTAGTCTTTCAGCTAGTAACTTTCTATTTAGAGTAAAAGAAATGTAATTCTAATTGCCTCTTCCAGAAAAAAGGTTCAATAAAGTTTTGTTATCAAGAACACGAGAAGAAACAATTTTTCGTCCTTTTTAGTTGAATTTACTTGATCACGCGATATAAAAATCAAATTGATAGCAATCGTTAATTTAATGATCGACAAACAAAAGACAAACAAAAAGTGCTTAAAACTCATTTCAACAAAAATCTTTAAAAAAAACGGTGGGATTCAAGACATTCATCATTTTTATAAAAATTCGTTCTTGCATTTGACCAAAGCAGTGAAGGTATGTAAAATGAGCACAGATTGCAATGCTAAGATCCATTTCATAATTAGAGCGGTCTGAACTAGCGTGCGGTACTAGTCTGGTCCTGGTGTACTTGAAAAAATGAATATAACTTCATACTTACTATGTTTTTTGCGGGCATTCAAACTCGAAATGAATTTAATTCGTAACTTTAGTTCAGAGCGTGTTTTGAGCTGACGTTAGTAGCACTAACTAACGTCAGCTGCTGATATAAGCTGCTGACGAGTATGCGTTGCATTGTTTTAACGCATTTGCAGTATAAAAACTAGAAAGTTAAAAAATAATAAAATAGTTATAAAACTACTACTCGTAGAGTCTTTTAGTCTATTTGTTCGGTTGTATTTGCCTGATGATTTGTCACACAACTCGACGGCAAAAATTAGTAGCGTGTATATCACAATGCTCTTGTATTCGAATAATCGAAGCTAAATAACACCGAGATAAAGATAATTTTTCTCATTCTTTCAGTCTTTTAGAACCTACGAAAGGACTCATTTTGAGCCTAGTCTGTTATTTCATAACAAACTATAACTGAGCCGTTACATGAAATGTACTACATCACAATGTATGAATGGATTAGACAGATAGCATAGAGAGTACAATCAAGTTCAGGTCAGCAAAAATCAAAAAAATCAGCTAAACTTCTGTATTAAATTCAATGCTACCACAATAACCAATACTCAACATAATACATCATAATATATGGAAATGAAAATTTTCAAGTATCGTATTGGTAATAACGTTTTAATCTAAATTTGTAGTTAGTCACAGACGGTAGCGTGCAAAGCACGACGCTGGCGAAGCAATTGTTTCGGGTGGCATTTTTTTGAGGGCGGAAAAATTGGTAAAATTGGAGTTTGCACTAGATAGAATTCATTTTTAAAAGTGATGACCTTTTTTTGCTCTTCAAATTTTGATGTTGGGGCGGCATTTTGATTTTGGGGCGGCAATTTGCTTCGGGCGGCAAATTTCCTTTGCACGCCGCCGGTCACAGATAATAATTAAACATAAAAACAGAATCTATTTTGGAATTAAAAAATCCACAGTTTTGGACCCCATAGAGGAAAAAAAAACAAAGTTAGTTACTCAAGTATTTTAGATAATGCTACTTTTTGGCTCTACAATATTAGAATCGCAACGATTCAATTGCTTCAATTTGCTTAATTCGGCAAGCGAATACTACGAGCAAATACTCAGTGAAAATTCCGAAACGTATCGTATGGAGTAAATGCCAATTTTTCTCTCTTTTAACACTCATTCATTAAAAAATAATTGAGATAATCAAAATCTGGAAATGCCAAAAGTTTTGTATCCAAAAAACTTAGTTTAAGTTCGAAGATGAGCCATTTTTGATTTGACCACTTGCCCTAAGAAATACCTAAAAAAATTGACACTTTTGTATGGGAGGTACCCGAAAATCGACTCCGATTGACTTCAAACTTTCTGGGGTTTCATTTTTTGGGAGAAAAATAAGATTTACACATACCTCCCAATGAGAGGCTCCTATACAAAATTGTCGAAATTTCGACTAGAATGACCGATTTTTCGGCCATTTTGTATGGGAGGTACCCGTAAATCGACTCCGATTGGCTTCAAACTTTCAGAGGTTTCATTTTCTGGAGAAAAAAAATTCTGAAAGTTTCATGTTGATCGCATTTGCTGAAGTTTGATTTTTGGTCTTCAATTTTTGTCGAAATTTTCTTGGAAAAAATTGAGGGTCAAAACCCATAGCGGTGCACTGTGAGAACTACGCGCTCACTACGCGCCCCAATGTCAGTTGTACACGGTTCGAAATCTACGCACACATCTTTACGATTTTCAGTAGAGTGGAGCGGGCTATACGATTTTACGTATAGTCTGACGTTTAGAAGCGGTTTTTGCGGAGAAACATACATTCTGTAGCGTTGACAGATGCTTAGTTAACTAATACAAGCGCGGAATATAATGTACAAAAAAATGTTGATTAGAGAAAATATGTCCAAAAATCAGAAGAAATTATATCCAAATGCATATGGACATAATTTCTCGGGGAAATTATGACCAAAGAGCCAGTGGAATTATATCCAAAATGGACATAATTTCCCCATAGATTTTTTTGGATTTTGGGGAAATTTTGTCCGAAATTCGGTGGAATTATGACCGGGGAAGTTATGCCCTGTAGCCTACGCGCTCACATGAATGTTAAGTCATCTTTAAATACAGTGTTTGGAGATCGTATTATAATTATTAAATTTCCACATTAATTGATTTATAATTTTATATTTTCATTGGACTAATAAATTGTAAAATACATGGAAAATAGATTCGTTTATATTTACGACAAAAGTCCAACAATAAAACATAAATCAACGACGCATTCACTGTTGAAATTTAATGAACAAATCCCATTACTCCTGAATAACATTACCTTCTTTGGCAACTCCGATCGACCAAATGAAATTACATTTGTTTCGGTGGAAAATCGAAATATATCAGCACAAAATGTCTTCACTGTTAGTGAAACATTTATTTATTCCTATGATTATTTAATTTATTTAAATATATTTTAGATTGAATTTATTTTTTTATTTATTTTTTTATATGTACCTAACATACATTAAGTATGGGCTTTCATAGCTGCAGTGACAGCCATTACTCAGTGGCAGCCATTGTTTATAGTTTGTTTTTGATAGTTCAACAAGCGTCAACAAGTGTGTGTAAAAACCCGTGAAAACCGGTAAATTTATTTAAATTTATTTTTCGATTTCATAAGTTCTGAAGTGTACATCATATTATGTATAATGGAATGACAGTTTGGAATGACAATTTGGTAAATATGCCCTTCCGGTATTTTGCTCCGCCATGACAGCATCTTCGTTAGTTAGTTTCCGGCATTTTGGTCCGCCATATACATATTATTAGTATTACATTGAGGACAGTAGCAGAAAAAAACATCGTCACCAATAAAGAGCGAATTTTTATTTTGAAACACCATTCTTATTTCTGATTAAATAAATATATGAAAGATTGTTTGAAATTTCTTGAATTAGAGATTTTGCAATTCAGGAGTAACGACAATGATAAACAATGATAGCGCTCCAATTTCTGGGTTATGTCTTCAAATTTAATGCAAACGAGTTCTCTGTATTAATTTTAGAAAACTTGTTGAAATTTTTCGTATTCGAAAATGTTGATTTTGATTTTTTGAAGAGAAAAATTTATAGAACTACGGATATCATCTATTCACAAGCGTGTATTTCAGGAGTAATGTCTTTTGTTTGATGGCTCTTCGTCTAATATTGGTGTAAATCAGGAGTAATGTGAATTTGATGTCAATGCAAAAATGTGCTATGGAGAGAACAAAAATGTACTGTGGACAGCACAAAAATGTACTGTGGACACTGGACGAGCATAACGAATAGCACATTTCTGTATTGACATGAAATTCACATTACTCCTGAAATACACAGGAATGAATGAAATGTATAGTCATTTTGGTGCATTTGACAGTTCTGACAGTATTAATGAGTCGCCATTGCTATGCCTTAAGTACTACGTGACGGGCACGTAGTTCTAGATGGCAACATCGGTATAAAATCGTCTCATTGCAATGATTCGCAAAAACCAAACTTTTGGGTGGACTGAAAATCGGCATAAAATTTTCCAAAAATCTTAATAAAATTTACAAAAAGTGACATAAAATTCCCAAAAATCATAATAAAATTTCCGAAAAATGGGATAAAAACATACGAAAATTGACTTAAAAATAAACAAAATCTTCATAAAATTCACGAATTATCGTAAAAAATTTTCTTAAAGTGTAATAAAAATTTTCAAAAAATCATCATAAACTCGCAATTCGGTAGTGTTTGCGCATGTTTTATTATGACTTTTCTTTCGTCTTATTTATTGCTTCTAGCGAACGTAATGAATAAACCACTGAAACCAATTGAATTTTTAATTATATAATCTCATTTACACCACTGTTTGCCACTGTCCCTGATGAAAAGAAAATTAAAAATTCAAATCAATGATCTGTTAAAAGAGAAAAAAAACACAAAAAGAACTATTACCAAATAAAAAAACGTTGCGTCTGCGAATAACGAATTGCAAATATATAGGGGGAGTATGTGTAAGTTGACCCACTTTGTAAGTTGACCCACCCCGCCGATTTTGTATTTTGACCGACAAATCGTCAATTTGGCTAGTCTCAATCGATTAAGA